TTAAGTGTGCACTGGCATTGACTTCCATGAGAATGTATCTTTCTTCCCTCGACTATAAAGAGCTGACACACGGGAGGTGTCTGATAATGTTTGGGGAATGAATGATAATCATTCTAGGTGACATTCCACTAACTATGGGCAAGTTACTCAATTTCTTAGAATACTCATTTCCTCATCTGCATAACGGAAACATCAGTAGCTATACCTCATGGGTAGGTTACATGGATTAAAAGAGATAATCCATGGGAAGTGTTCAGCACAAAGTAAATGCTCTATTCATGTTGGCTACTATTATTTATAATGTGGGTCTGTTTCTCCATAAAACCCTAAGACTCCTGAAAGCAAGAGGGACTATGTAACTCATCTTGTCCCCTCATAGCAAGGCCAACAGCTGGGGCACAGCAGGGCTTCAGTGTCGCCTGAGCTGAACACCCATTTTCACAACACATTAGCTGAGCGGGTTATTTTGCTTGAAAGCAACTTGACTGGCGGAAGAGAGAGACACAAGACAAGGAAAATACTTACCTAGAACATCCACACTCTCGGCCTAATCTCTGACCTCTGCCCCAATTCATATAAACCATGGAATGATCTCAGAATGCGTCCTTTCTTCTCACCTTTCCCTGCCCAAACTTCTCCCTACATTAAGCTGAGTTTCCTTGCAAACAACTTTTCTTCTGAAAACTAAGGGGTTCCTGCAAGGCTAAAAACTTCTCACTCTTTGCTCACATTGATATGGTAGCATCTGCCCAAGATAACAACAACAACAACAACAACAACAAAAAAAAAAAAAAAAAACACTGGGGGCAAGATTGACCTCCTGAACTAAATGGAGAAGATGAAGTTTTGCGGGTAAGAACTTGACCATTGCCCCAATCTGAAAAAGCAGATTACCCAATAAATGGCATGTTCAACACCAATGCCTATCTTATTTCCCGAGAGCCCCAGGCCTTGTTTCTCCTCCAACACCCCTGGAAGTCACATTTAAAACAGTAAAGGTTCTGGGATCAAAGCAAGACTGGTAGTTAATTTCCTTCTTTTCTTTATAGAAGACGCCGTTATATTTAGAAGGGGGAAGGGACAGCTGGGGGTGGAAAAGGAAAATGTCACCTAGAGAAAGAATTCCATAACCACAAAGTTTCTATTGCTGGTTTCAATCTGATCTCTCTCTTCCTTTTTCTTTCAAGATTATGAGCAAAGCCAGCACAAATCAGGGAGAAGAGAGATTTTGTCTTACCTGCCATGGACACTGGTGCTTCCAAATGGTACCACATTAGCTAAAGGACTAAAGTGACTGAATTCGTCTACATCGCTGCTCTTCTCATCACCTAGAGGACAGGGGCCATTGACCAAAATTCATGTAGACAATGAAGGAGGTCTCGGCTTAAGTGAACCAGATAGGCACCCAGTCTTTCCTTCCTATAGATGAAGTCTGGGGCAGAAGATACATTCAAGGGAATCACCAAAAAAAAAACAACAATAACAACAACAACAATTCACTCGGTAATGTACTTTTACCCATCAGAAAGAAGCATGTTCAAGATTTTAACTCTTTTGCATCTACTGGGGAAAGTAACAGCTACCAGTTACTGACCAGATCTTGTGTACCAACCACATACTCTATTTGGTTCTTTGGCCATATCATCTTCAATCCTATTACCTCACAGGGAAGGAATTCTTCCCTCCCACCCATTTTATAGGTAAGGAAACAAGCCCAGAAAAATTAATCTATCAAGGCCACTTAGCTTGTATATGGGAACACTGGGACTCAAATCCAGGCCATTGGGTCCCCATGCACACCCCTACTCACAAAAGCATTTAGACACAAAAATGAGGAACACTATTCTCATGTCATTAAAGGATTCGTGTATAGGATTCCCTTCTGCCACCATTTAGGAGTGCGAGCCTCTGTGCTAAGTACTGGGAATGAAAAGATAGGACTAACTAAGGCTTACTGGGCCCTGAACCAAAGGCCAGGCTCCCTCAGTACTGAATTTGAAACACATTTCATCTTCCCAGTAACCTTATGAGGTAGTGACTAATATCACCTCCCATTTTACAGATGAGAAAACCAAGCTTCATAGAGGTTAAGCAATTTGTCCAGGGTCACACAGCTAAGAACTTGGATTTGAACCCAGAAAGCCTGATCCTAGGGCCTATGCTATTCACAAGGGTGGAAGGTTTCAAGAGGAGCTCACAAAATTAAAAAACCCCAAGTCAGGAGCATAGCTCCCTATGAGCATTACATAAATAGGCCTTTGGTTTCCATTTACTTAAGAACAGGTTATGATGGTTCTCAATATAGGAAATAAGTTGGCAAGGAAACAATGGAAGCAACAACAAATCCAAATGACTAGCTCTGCTGATTGCTCAGATAAAGACTCCATCATCCTAGCCGGCTGCTTGCCAGCATCTCACTTTTCCATATGTGTTTGTTAAACTCCAGGGTGTAATGGCACGGCAAGGAAATGGACTAGAAACGCCTCCAAATTGTCCAACTGCCCTATGCACAATTTCTAAATATCAAAATTACTTCAACTTCAAAATACACTTGTATTTGGAAAGGCAATAATCACTTCCAAAAGAGAAATCGGTTTCTTCATTTTAGGAAAAAAAAAGAAAAAAAATTTTTTTTTTTTTTTTCAAAGAATGCTGTACTAGAACTGAAGGGCTGCTTTGGAAAGTGTTTAAATCCTCATTGCCCAAATTCCAAGGGGGAGATCTCCGAGGCCCTCTGCCTGGGCCCCTCACCTGCATGCCAAGGGCCTTGGGTGCAGCATGAGGAATCTAGGCAGTCCTGACCTACATTTGCAAAGCCTGCAGCAGGGCTTGTTTGGAACAGATTTTCCCAGAAGTGCAAAGCACCTCCCAACCTAGAAACCTTTATTTTTAATTTATGAGGAAAAGCAGTCAACATATATCAGGTCACTGTCATGTGATCACCTATAGAACCAGGCTGGGCCATAAACAAAGTTTGGTTCTTTCCAAATGGCCTCTATCAGACTGTCACTTTTATCTCAAAAACAGTCCCTTCAATCAGCTACCAGATATCTATCGAAGCACCAGGCACTTTGGCCCTAGTGCCAGGAAAATATGTATGTCTTCTGACTTCCCCTGGCTATGGTCCTATTTATTTTAACATTCTAAACCCTGTATTCAAATAACCACTAGTTCACTTTGTACAGGGCATGAACATCTTTCCCAGGTTCCTTTCACAGCTAGCAAGCCTGTGAGCAGAATGGGATAAAAGCTCACATTGAATCCAAGCAATGAGCACCTTCCACTTGGCTCCAGCTGCATAAGCCACACTCCAACCAGCTCACCCCCAAGTAATAAAGCCAGGAGTTTATAGCCCAGGCTCTATTAGCAGTGGTGCTTAACCTTGGCCATACAGGAAAATCACCTGGGAAGCTTTAAAAAAAAAAAAAAGAAAGGAAACCATCAATGCCAAATTAAATGACCATCCTTGAGGTTGGAACTTCAACATCAGTATTTTTCCAAGTCCCCCAGGTGATGTTAGCCAAAGTTGAGACCTACAGCTCCTACTCCATCCATCACCAGCTGTGTGACCTCAGACAAGACACTTAACCTCAACCTTTGAGGACTTCAATCCCCTCACAGGGTGGACAGACGAACCCATGAGCTAAAAATGTACGCAGAACCCTTAGCACAGCGCCTGGCACAGAGTCTACTGATCTTGGCCCTGTTAAAAAGATAAACTGAGGCATATTTTATCATTCAGTGTAGAGAATTAATTCTGTAAGTAACTGCCTGGATTATGATTATTAGATCAAATCTTTGATTTCTGCTGCATTCAGGATTCCGTTCTGGAAAAAGCCACGGAGGAAGGATAGGAAAGAAAAGGTCGCAGGGGCCACAGCTGCTCAGGATCCTGTGGCACAGGGCTTACGGCAACACTTTTCTTCTTCAACAGTCCCCCTCACCACCTCCCAGGTGAAAATATTCTCTTGATAGTCTCATGCCAACTGGATGCAGTTCAACACCAAACATCTTCTAAATGGCTTCTCTCCATCTGAACGTCTGCCTTCTATTTTATTCTAATTCCTTTAGCTTTTATCCAAAAAAGTCAAACAGTTTCTACATCAACTAATAGTAAGAACTTTTCACTCAAATGATGTAACCTAAAAATGGCAAGTTTTGAGCCCGTTGGGACTGAGGCCATGAGTCAAATACTAACCTAATGGGTTCTCAACCCCAACTCAATATTAAAAAAAAAAAAAAATCACTTGGCAAGCTTAAAAAACAAATGCCAGTGCCCAGGCCCATACCTTGAGAGATTCATTTGATTGGTCTGGAGTGGGGCCCTGAGTATCTGTTTAATTTTAAATCTCTCTCAGGTAATTCTCCTATGCAGCTGGAGTTGAGAACTATGAACCACAAAAGCAAAGAAGAAAAATTGTTTAACATCTTAACATCCCAACTATATTTTAAGCACCTTCTGGAATAAACTAAAGCTACCTTCAGAGGAAGATACCAAATATAAGAGGCCTAAAAAGAAAGCCAGTAATGGGAAGCTACTGGTAGGAAGGCTATCCTGCATAGGTCTTTTAACAAAAACTAAGGGCAATAACCGACACCTTCTCCCTCCAGGTTGAAGCATCTAAGAATACCAGAGCCCCCAAAGGCAAAGTAAGATCCGCTGCAATAACACATGTTCCTTGTGACGAGATCCATAAATCCTATTTGTTTAAGACATAGTTGCACAAGTGTAAGGCTTTAAGCTGAATTTGCACTGATCAACATGTGTGCAATATACAGAAAAAGGCTCTAATAAAAGCCATTCCAATCTTGACACTGAACTTATTTATACATTTTCAAAAGGTCACAAAGCTTGGAATTGAAATCATACTTTAAAAACTACAAGTAAACAAACCTACAATTGCTTATTAAACACACACACACACACACACACACACACAGCAACACATCTGATGAATTTTCAAATGAGGGAGGTGCCCACTCCAAGGTCATCAACTTACCTCTGAATTTCTTGGGTGGATTATTAAGGTCCCCGGCTTCTGGCTGTACAACGCAACGATCATCAACCAGGCTGTGAAGACAAGGATAAATGCTGTATCAAGCCAAGTTTAAGGAAACAAAACCTAAGCACTCTGCAAAAATTGAACATTCAGTGCTGTTCCTGTACAAAACTTAGATGACCATGTTTTCCTACCGGGGGGCTGTTTATACTACAGGTTTCCCATGCAGGGAGCTAAACCTAATCCAAAAGCCCAGGTTCTGCTTCTGCAATGCACATATTAACCTACTGTTTTCTGTGGCTCTTTTCCCTTAACCACATCCATGATGGATTTGAGCAAAACATGCAAAAATGTTGAAGTCGGGAGGCGTAGCAAGGGATGAACGCATTCAGCTCATGGTAGCTGAGGGGTCCATTTGGTGCCAGGCACAGTGCTGGGCCCTGCAGTGTGAGGATGAATATGAACCAGGCCCCGCCCTGAGGGAGCTCAAGGATAGTGCAAGAGCCACAAAAGCAAATTAATAAAGAGAATATACCCTAAGGGCTATAAGAGAAAGAAGAACAAAACACAGCCAGGAACTAACTGTGCCTGAGGCCATCTGAGAAGCTGCCGGCAGAGAGAATCATATGGAATTACTGGAAATCGAAATGGAGGTGGGGAAAGTGCAAAAAGTTATAAATAAATAACCAGCCCCAACTTATATACAGACCCAATATTTAGAAGTGTAGACTGACCAAACTAACGTGTACAATTCTTTTAGAAGAACAGATTTAAAATAATGTGTTTTTTGAACAGATGAGGAAATTGAGGCTGAGAAGTTTATTTATTTTTGTTAAGATTTTATTTATTCATTTGTCAGAGAGAGAGAGAGAGCACAAGCAGGGGGAGCAGCAGGCAGAGGGAGAAGCAGGCTCTTGGCCGGGCAAGGAGCCCGATGTGGGACTCGATCCTAGGACCCTGGGATCATGACCTCAGCTGAAGGCAGACACTTAACTGACTGAGCCACCCAGGTGTCCAGAGGCTGAGAAGTTTAAGTGACTTATCCAAGTTCCTAAAACCATGTATTGGTCATTTGCCAAGTGACCACAGAACTTGCTGACAACTAATATACTATGGTTTTCTGGGGTTTCTTCCATTAGTCTGTGCTGCTCCTTATCCCAAAGGCAAGGCACCATTAAATAGTTTGCCTTTACTCTTACTGCCCCTTCCTCCAAAATTCCATTTCACCTCCTAAAGTCTGGCCTGTCTTTCAAGACTTACTCAGGGCCCCCATCTTCTCCACGAAGGCCCTCCTACTGAGCCTTTCCTGGAGCCAGCATTCCCTGCCTCTCCTCACCTCATTGAATGAAGCACAATGGTGCAGTAGGCTAAGAGCTTCCTAGGGGCAGAGAGGTGCCTGCATTTGTGGCCCAAAAGATGCCCACGGCTAGTACATTTTCCTGCCCAGGCAAGGTGCTCAGTTATCTATATGGTAGGTGAATCAAAACGGCCAGAGTAGCCCACCAGCAACTTGCTGCCTCTGGGTCTAAGACACAAGACCTCTCTCCATCAAGAAGAGGAAGAGTGTGGTCAATGGCTTGAGTTTTTATGGAAAAATCAAGAACAGAATGTGTACATAGAAAACTTCACCTGGAGCCCCTGTGATGTAAATATAGTAAAGCTACCAGATCTAACATAGTATATGAAGTGGGAGAGTGCCTTGGAATCCAATATAGGGCTGGGTTAAGGGGTAAGAGAAAGGGCCCCAGTCTAGGCCAGAAGACAAATGAATTGTAGATGGCCCTTTGCTACCTACTAGCAGCTTGACAATGACTGTTATTTCATTCCTCCTGGTCTCAGTTCCTTAATCTGTAAAATTAAAGAGTTGGTCTCAAGGAGTCTCAAGGAGGGTGATGTTCCTCAGACTTTGTTTATAAAATATACTGATACCAGGTCCCCATCAACCCCAGGTCTATCAAAGCTGTGTTCCAGGACGGGACCTGAGAACTTTTATTTTTAACACATTCCTCACGTGATTCAGAAGCACACCTCTGATACTGCATGTGCACGCACACAGGCTCTCCAAGGTCCGACTCAGGTTCTGAAGCTCAAGGAGTCAATAAGGCCACTGGGGAGGTAATCGTCATGTATACAAATGGAATGTGGCTGGGGAGCTAGATGCCAAGTTCCACAAAAACTGTCATTCACAACTGGTGCTCCATAAATGTCAAAGATATTAAAAGGAAAAAGGTCAAACTTTATTTTCCAAGTTCATTTTGAACCAAAGAAATATTCATCTGAGGTAAGTATTAGAGCCCCAAATTCAAAATGGACCATCTGCGTGTTAAAAAGTGGAGGGTGGGGGAGAGGGAACCTTATCAATAATTTGTTTATAATGCTTGAGGAAAACTCTTATAAAGCAAACAATTTGTACCTGATAGGAATTCTAAGAACAGATGCTCTGGAAGAAGAGGATGAAGTTGGGACGGTGGCATTAAGACTTCAGGGGCTGCCACAAGTGGGTTCAGCTATCGACTGGAAGTGAGCCTGGGGGACTGGAGGGGCAATGGCACTATTACAAGAAATCGGGGCCACAGAGAAAAGATGAGGCATAAGGTGGGACTGAGGTTTAACAAGGCAGCCAGATAAGAGCTGTGGGCAGACAGTGAGGAGGGTGGTGAGCCAATTTACCAGAGACGGATAGTCAGGAAAGGTAGAGAATGGAAAGTCTACCCTGCCAAGGTCAACTGTTAGAAGCACTGGTCCTGGAGTCTGGAATGCTCACAGCTGTGAAACCCTGTGCAGGTGACCTCACCTCTCTGAAGCTCCGAGGTTTTTTGCCTCCATAAAGAGAATAGCGCTCACTATAAAGATGTGTTTAGGAATTAAAGGCATTATGTATGGACAGTCCTTAGCACAGTGCTGTAAACATCCACAGGATTCGTGGAAGTGGTGACCCCTGCTACTTATTACCATTGCTTTACCTGCTGAAGAACAAGAAGAGGATGGAAGATTCCAACATGAGGGAAAGAAAAAGGAAGGAATCAGCCAGAAGTAAAAAGGGACAATGAGAGAGGCACAAGCAGCAAAGGACCTCTTTGCCAAAACCCACGGAAGATAAATGATGAAGCGTGGGTCTTAGTGTTGAGAGGTTAAAAAAAAAAAAAATAGGTAAGGACTGAGAAACAGTCACTGGATTTGGGGATCACAGAGTCAGGGATGACTGCTTTTTATCAGATGACTTTTGAAAACAAAATTTTTATACAATGAGGTCCAATTGAGCTATACTTCTATATCTGAAATAATTTGCTCCTTGAGGCTGGAGTGACCTGAATGAGAGCCTGAGTACTCATTCTGCACAAATACCAGAGACCAAGCATGCTTTAAGTAATAGCTATGATTAAAAGAAAGGCTCTGGCTGCTCTAAGAATGAGGTTCTTAGAGAAGGTGTTGGCTTTCCTTTCCCCCATTTGAGATCAGTTCCTGCCAAATTCAACAATTCCACCCGGGGCCTAACTCCTCCTTTCTACACAAAGACAATCTAGACCATTCACATGTCTTCTGGAGTTAACCATCTTGATTCTCCGTTCTGCTTCTTTCTGCCTTTGGGGCTATTCCACTTCTCCTTTCCTCTTCTCAACAACGGGAGGAGAAGGGAGAAGATAATCAAATAAAGACATTGTGGAATGTACTTACTCTCTTAAAAGCTGGGTAAAAATTGAAGACAGCACAAAAGAACAAAAATCTGATTTACAGAACTTTGTGGAATATGTAACTTTCAAATGCACACTGCAATTTAAAATAGGCAAGGTTCTGCTTCAAAGAAGAGAGATAAGCATCGGAGAAGTTCTGGTCTTTGCTTAAATGACAAACAAGTCAGCATGTGAAAATAAGAGCTTTTATGAAAGCTAAAAAGCACTTCTTTGGGGTCTGTAAAAAATAATACTAAAATTTTAACCCGTATACTCTGTACTTTCCCCCTTATATAAGGAATAGGAAATTATAATAAATTCTGAATTACAAGAGTCCTAATTAATGAGATATTGTACTTCCAGGACTTAGAGGAAAAGAGTATTTTTGTGCCAGAGGTAAACCTGGCTAACATGAGATTTGGTATCATGATTCCAATTGCCCCTAGAAAAACCAAAGTCAAATGCTAACATTCTTATCTCAGAAAAATCAGCTTTTAAGCTGGCATTAAGAGGTCTTAAAGAAATCCTGCCACACAAGAAATCAGGTGCTCTTACCCCAAGGTGCTAATAAATCCATTTGTCGATCCTTCCGCGTACAGAGAACAAATGTCTCCAATATGCAGGAAACTAGACATCTTGTCAGACATGTCTTTCTCGAAAAGCCTAGACAAAGTAAAATATGCAACATTATTAGAGGGAAAGAAATGCTCAGAGGGGGAAAAAAAGTCAGAGAGTTGGCTTAGCTCAATTTTCCAAAGCGCCCTACTTAAAAGTCAAATTTAAATGAGTATGTGACAGGCAGGCACTTAAATGAGCCAAGCAAGGACATATGCAACAACATTTTTTTCCATATATCATTTATTTCAGGATATTCCAACCACAATAACGCTGGTTTCTAACACAACCACACCCAAATCCGATTCTACAAATTGAGGACCCTCGATAATGAATAGTGAATCTAAAGACTGCAGGGAAGTCAGCCAACAACTTGCAGTGATTAAGAGTTGGAAAGTCTGACTTATAAAACATTAACATACTCAATCTGCCTCAGGCAATGTGAAGGCAGAAGGAAACACCTGGTATATAACTTGGGTCTGGCAGTGCCTGTGCTGAGGTACCAAAGCCACAAAATTAATAAAAGGAAACCTAGTAACAAATACCACAAAGCTCTAGTGGCCTTTCAAAAATTCAACAATTGTACCCACTTCATCCAAATGCTGTTTCAATTTCTTTCCTTCTCCTTCACCCAAATTTGCAGGAGGAGAAAGGATCTTAGCACCTGGTCCAAACCATGTCAATGCAGGCAAGAATGCTGCAGCGTAGGCCCAGTAAGAACCCTGGTCAGGAATACACATGGCTAGTCAGGGGCAGTCCTAGAAAGGACCAAAACATCTACACATACAGCCACATGATCTTTTTTTTTTTTCCCAGCATGATCTTTTAGACACATACATCAGACCATGTCATGCCTCTGCTTAAAACATTCCAAAATCTCTTTGGGAGTCCTCATGATCTGGTCCTTGCCTACCTCCCCCTCCTCGTCTCTCTGTACTCTCTATCTGCCTTCTACACTCTGGCCACGATGAACTTTCTCCAGATCCCCCAATGTGCTAGGTGCCTTTGGACAAGCTGTAACTGCTGCCTGACATTCTTCCCCACATGGTACCCTCATTACACTAGGGCACTACCGCTGTCCGAAAATTGCTTATTCACTGGTTTGCTTATTAACTTGTCTTCACCACTAGACTGTCAGACCATGAGGACTGGACAGCCGAATTCTTCTTTCCTACTGAATCCTAGTGCCTTGTATTGTGCCTAGGACATGACAAGCAGATTTGGGTCCAAAGTAATTGTGTCATCTTATCTGTTACCTAAAAGAAGGTAAAATATTTTTAGGTGATTGTTTCCCTAAAACTAACAAAAACCAAGTTTATACTGTTGGAGCAAATAGGGAATAGAGCTTTGTTAGAACTTTCAATAGATTTCTATGAGAAATTTGGGAGCCAGAAAAAAATATCTAACTTCTGTCGCTGGCAGCATGTACCCCTACCCCACTGACCAGCCTGTGTGTGTTTAAAAAGGCTAGTAAGAGACTCAGAACACCTGAGTCTGAATTCCAGCTTCATGTGCTTAAGCAACTGACATAACTTTTCTGAACTTCAGCTCCATCAACCGATTAAAAGAGAAGGGGAGGAGGGAACTTTTCTTATCTCTCAGGGTCATCGTGAGGGGCAAAAGAAATAATCCCCACAAAGTACTCAGCCCAATACATGGCTCTTACTAAATGCTCATTTTTGTATGAGACTGAAATGAAAATGTTCACTTTTCTTCCTCCAAAGCTTTCACTCATTTCTGTCCATAATTTGTCCTTCTTCTACTTGATATATGCTTCTTACTTTGTCGACACTGTTGGAAACAAATCAACACAAGTCCCGGAAAGGTTTCAATCCTCTGTAAGCCTAGGAGGTAAGTGATACTTGGACAGGTCATCCAAGGTATTGTTGCTTTTTGGCCCCCAAACTCACCAAGACCACCAGACTTCAACTCCACTCTCATTTCTAACATCAAACCAGGCCCCTGTGGGAGGAAGGGAGGGGGTGAGGTGGAAACCTCTTCAAGAAATAATTCAATATTTAGAACCTCTTCCACTTTGGTGTTAAGAAAGGCTAAATCACAGCCTCACTGAAAAATAAGTATATTCATTTTAAGCCTTGGGACAGGTTTTGAATTTTTTCTTCTTTTTGCTAAAAGCTTTGACTGTGGCAGAAAACTCACTTATTGTAATTTTTCCCATCTATTTCTCCTGTACACATTGAACTAATTGCATTATATTTGTTTTTCTAAAAAAAAAAAAAAAACTCAATTCTCGCCTACACACAATTCAGAATTTAAAAGTTAGCAACTCCTGAAAGGAGACGAAATTAGAACACTTTCATTAACCACGAAGTTACCTAAGGTATCACATAATCCTAGACAGGCAAGGAAGGGAATCAGAAGCTTTATTTATACCAAGTAATAGACCCCAAAGCCAGGGACCCAAATATTCTGATTGGAAGATTTTTATTGACACACAGAAGCAAGTCTCCTTTATTTAAGATGAAGCCACCTGGCCCTTGGGGCTGTAATGGGGGCGTGAGCCCCACTGACACTGCCCTTAAATTTGGTCCTTCTAAGCACTGGTGTCAGAAACTAAGCCCCCCCCATGCCTGTCCCCCGCCCCAGTGCACCGTTCTTTCCCTGATCTCCAATCTCCCCAGCATCTGACCACCTAATTATCTGAGCTTTGACAATCTTATATACATCACTCAAGACATTCAAAATATTCCCCAGATGCCTGGATGTAATCATTTGCCTTTCTTAAACAGTTGGCTAGCAGGGTATAGCTCATCTATTTTTAACGCCTTCCACTTTGATGTCTTTGACACCAGATGTGATAGAACCTGAGACCAATAAAACACTGAAACAATCTAATTTCTATTATAGGACATAACTCCATCCGAGTCCAAAAGCTACAAGGAGAACTAAGTAAGGGTTGTAGAGTAACAGCTATAAAGGGAGTTATATTTGAAGCTACTATTCTCAGACATGGAGAAGAACCCACGCTTTATTATTTTTTAATGACCCATCCCACTGCAGAACTTCTAGAATGCTTGGTATAATCTTGCCCATCTGAAAAAGATGAACAAAAGACAAGTACCACTAGCTTCCAAGTTTTCAGTGTCCTTTGCAATTCAGGAGGTGCTTTAGCTGGGAAGCAATTTTTCTTTTTCTTTTTTTCCCCAGAAACAGCTTAAATGCATCCCCATGCATATATTTCTAAACAAAATCCAGACTTAGGGATAATCAATTACATCCTGCTACCTAAGCCTTCAACTTCTCCATTTCTCACCTGTTCCATACCACCACCCACCTTTTAAATAACCTCGCTATCCTGTAAGCTAGTAGCTCTCAATGACACCCCAACACCCTTTCAGAGGTTCTTCAAAGTCCTAACTATTTTCATAATAACACCAACACTCTATTTACCTTTTCACTCCATCTCTCAACACGACAATGGAGTTTTCCAGAGGCTGCAGGACATGTGAGGTCTCAAAGACTGAAGGCAGAAACAGGTATGTGATATATGACTCCAGCTATCTTCCATTAAGCCAGATGGCCGGCAATTTGCAATAATGTAAAACAGTGCCACTCTCTAATTTTTTGTTTTGTTTTGGAAAATACAGCTGTTGTTCATTTAAAAAAAAATGTTACTGGGGCACCTGAGTGGCTCAGTAGGTAAACCCTTGGTTTCAGCTCAGGTCACAATCTCCAGGTCTTGAGTTCAAACCCCACATCGGGCTCTGCGCTGGGTGTGGAAACTGCTTAAGATTCTCCCTCTCCCTCCACCCTTCCCCCCCTTTAAAAAAAATGTTACCACATTAATGTGTGATTGGCGTATTTTTTTGTGTTGTCTCAGTGTTCATTTTCTCAGTGTTAAATTCTAACAAGATAAATACAGATTGTTATAACTCATATCAACTGAAGTTTTGGGGTCCTCAGTAATTTCTAAGCATGTCAAGAGTTCCTGAGACCCAAAAGTTTGAAAAATGCTACTATAAATTTTAAGTTTTGGGTTGGCACTGGCTGTGTGCTTAGGGCTCATACTGCATTAATATGAAAAATTGGACAAGATTAAAATACAAAATATACAACACGCAGGACTTTAGAGAGGACCCCCTGATTTGAAACCGCCTTTTTATTCAACACATTCATTGAATACCTACTATGTGCTATCCCTGGACCAGGTGTGCAGGATATAAGTAAACAGAAGACAGTCAAGGTCCCTGTTCCCATGATGCCTATATTGTCATGAGGCAGAGAGAGAGTTTGTTTACAGGCAAGACAAATCGGGTAGTGTTAAGTACTGGGCAGAGAATTGAAACTGGATGATATGACCGTGTGACAACTTTTGTCTAGTCAGAGAGTGCAAGTTGAGATATTTAAGCTAAGACCTGAAAGACAGAGACAGTCATGCAAAAAAAATCAGGTGGAAGAGCATTTTAGGCAGAGCCAGCAGCTAGTACAAAGGCCCTACGGCAGAAAAGAACTTGGCAAGTTCAAGAAACAGAAAGCCAGCCACAACGTCTGGAGCATTAATGTGAAACGAAGAAAGTGCAGGGTAAGGTCAGAGAAGAGAGAAACCAGGGCCAGTGGGACTTCCCAAGCCAGGGTAAAAAGTCTGCCTTTTATTATAAGTGTGACAGGAAGTTTATAACCTTGACCAAATTACTTACTCTTTCTGGAACTCAGTTTCCTCATCTGCAGAATGGGGATCATGAGAGCTTGCCTCATAAAGTTGTGTTGAGGATTAAATGTGTAAAAGAAAATAATGGGCTTACTTAGCACATAGGAAGTAAAACACTGTAAACACTTTTGTTTGCTGTGAAGCACCTAGGAAGTAAAACACTGTAAACACTTTTGTTTGCTCTGATTATTCTTATTGGCTAATTTGCTGTATTTTCAACTCTCGTGAATACTAAACTTACTAAACTTTTGAGGGCTTACCATTAGTTGAGGATTAACCCTATCAACCAGTAAGTCCACACGATGAGTGGATAACAGACAAGGGACACACCGTGAGACATATTTATCTGAATTTATCGGTGCCAACTCCAGCAGAATGT